ATATACTAGTCGTCAATCTCCGACCGCTATTCCGTTCACGCACATGTTGCGACACGTGTAGCGGATAATTGTATGTGTAAAGATAGCGGAATTAAACAAAATAGAAATCGACTAACCAGTGACATGGACTTCCGCAAAATAACAACTAGTAATAAAATATCTATACATCATCAAACACATCTATGCAAACACAACTGCTTCACGGTAGAAACACGAATGGGACAGAGGTACCCAAGCAATCGACTTTTGTACAAAGTCTCCCTCTGGTGGTAGTTTTCCGTACTTTCAAATTTATGATTCATCAACATCATCATTCAGCCATCATCCGTCCACTGCTGGACATAAGCCTTCCCCATAGACCGCCATAAGGAACGGTCCTGAACCACCTGCATCCACTGACTCCCTGCAATGAATTTCAGGTCGTCACTCCATCTAGTGGGAGATCGTCCATATGTCTATACATAAATACACACAATGGGGGAAAAAGGGATTGTTAGTAATGGAGACTAAGAATCCCATTGCTAGCAATATATCCAACCAGGTCGACCTCCTCGCGGTTCCCCCCGGGAACTATCATGATTAATTCCTGATGAATTCATCATGATGGACTAACTGGTCTGTTTTCATTCTCATCTATCACCCTTCACTAGTGCTCCGCCAGCGTATCCCATTAGCGCAGGCGGGGTTACCATACCATTTTCATCCATAAAAAAAATACATACAATATAAGTACTTAATAAATGCACATACACAACGTAACAAACAATGTATGTTTGTACTATTAAGACTATTGACAGTGTTGTTAATGCAAACTGGAAGATTTAACTCGCTTATCCGGCGGTTAACATTGTTTACAATTAACAAGTTGTTTGTATCATAAAATTATATACGTCTTCTTGCCAATCTTCCTGTTTTACGCCACCTCAAACAAAAAATGCTTACTGTAATTGCTTAATTGTAGTGCTTAATGTATATTTAAAAGTGAATTTGTTTATTACCTTATAGCGCTCTAATGGATGAAAGATCAACATAAGCAACTATGTATGCCGATCACTCTATATATCCGGTTACGAAGAAGTAGTAAAAACTATAAAGATATAATGGTAATTAAGTTTTTAAATCACCACTGGTTTTACACGATTGAAATCGGTGTTGCTTATTTTTGAAACAAAATCTATCATTGCCTTCATCGTATTTAAAATAAACCCAGATTTTTTTTTATATTACTTAGAATGGTAAACAAGCTGACGGCCCATCTGATGGAAAGTGGTAACCGTTGCCTATAGACGTGAGCAGTACCATGGACATAACAGAGTATACTGTTTCGCCCATGATACAGGAATAGAAATGGCAACGCATGGGGGGTTGCCATTCCTAAGGACTCAGATGTTATTCCTCTGTACCCAGTAAATTCACGCCATATCCCACCCTTCAAGTAAGTAAAAACTAGAATTATCATATTTGCTCAATCAAGTGCATTGAGCAAATATGATAATTCTAGCTTTTACTACACGAGAGACTACAGCATGGGGTTCTTCAAAAGGGGGGTAAAGAGGTTTCTACAGGGTCGGTTACGCACGCATAATACCTCTGGTATAGCAGGTGTTCATAGGCTACGGTAACCACTTACCATTAGGTGAGCCGTATGCTTGTTTGCCACCTCAGTGGTATTAAAAAAAAACGTAAAAATTGCCGTGTAGGTCCCGGCATAGAATAGACCACTACTTATACTATAGAATAGAATAGAACAGAACAGAACAGAACAGAACAGAACAGAACAGAATAGAATAGAATGGAATTTTATTGCTAACAAAATTTGACATTAGTATCAACAGTAATAAGCTCCTTACTTTCCTATAGATGTCGTAAGAGGCGACTAAAGGGATTTATAGTGGGTGGCGACCTTTTTAAAACATCGCCAGAAGCCAAACTGCAGTAGCCAACCCGCCTGCCAAAAGTGACAACTACTGCAGAACTTCCTTATGGGGGAGATTGCGTTTAACAGTGGATAATTAACAGCTGACAAGTCAACACGTAGTAGTAAATATAAATGAACATTTTAAACAAAATTTTAGTTTTTATCTTGCTTACTAACTTAGTCTTAAGTGAATAGGTGCGTACACTCTGGAAAATTTCACGAAACATTTTACAACAAATCTAGTGTGAAACTCCTTCATCGCTCCATGAAACCAGGTTCACATTACCGGCATATTTACTATATATATATATATATATATATATATATATATATATATATATATATATATATATATATATATATATATATATATATATATATATATATATATATATATATATATATATATATATATATATATATATATATATACTGTATTAGTTTTACCACAGATTTCAGTATAAAATGCTACAACATTACTGCGTACTTTCCTATAAAAAATTGTTGCATTTTTATTCATTTTGCTTCGTAAAAATAAAACTGATTTTAATCATTAAATAATAGAGTTTGTTGCATAAAAAATCGACTTTAATAATAGCTAAAAGTTATTTTAATTTATAAACGAAACTACTGAATCGGTTTTAATGAAATTTCTATGGAACAAATATTAAAGTATATTTTTACACATATAAAAAAATTCCAAAGTGTTTTATAAATGACGGAGTTATGAGGTGAGGTAACAAACATAATATTGTTTAGTTCGCTAATCTTATTTTCAGATAAATAATAACGAAGATCGCTTTTTTCTGTAAAGGAAAACAATATTTATTTCTGCAAAGGAAAAAGGTAGTAACTAATGCACGAGCGAGTATTATATATGCAATTTTTTTCAAATTCAAATCATCTTTATCAAAGCAAACTTGTTTACAAGCGTTTTTAAATCGTATTTTTTATAATATTAATGTAATATCATGATGGACCCATATACACGTAAACCCAATCGATTGAAACAGAAATTATCAAAATTAGTTCAAAATTGGCGAAGATATCGCAGTATATAGATAAATAGATACTTTTTTTCAGCGATAACGGTAGGAGATTAATGACTAATATAGAGGCTTGTAGAACATCTATTAATAATATTTTAATATAAAAACTATTTTGTCTGTATTGCACAGAGAAAACAGTAATCAAATCTACAAACATTAGCAGTCGCACATAAGTATACTAATGGTAGCGGAATTAAACAAAATAACTCATGTTTATTTATAAAACAAATACAGTTATAAAATTAATAAAGTTACGTGCCCTATATCCAGGCGTTATTTTCACAGCTTGTGAAAATATCATAATAATGTCAGAGAAATACATTTATCATGATTTGCGATATTGAAATAACCTTTTGTTTGAAACGAGCTTGAATAAAATCATAACTATAATTCAAATTCATTTGCCTTCATTACCTATTTATTTCATTACAATCAATCAAAACATATAAGAAATTGTTCCAAAAATGTTTCAAAATAAATATAATATCTACTGCTGAAGACTTATAAAAAATTGTATATTGGTATGTGTAATAAATAGGTAAAACGCCATCTTTTGCCAGTTTCGCAAAACATGATGTTAAATAACCACAGGAAAATATAGTACAAACCCTCATCCCCGAATTGCACCCCAATCTAAATTTACAAGAGCATCGAAACTAGCACCGAAATGCTGTCCTGATGTAATTTATATACTCCCATAGATGTCGCTAGCGAGCAGTTTAATAAAAAGCGCCACCTTTGAGAACTTTAGTGAAACTTTAAGTATAAATAACCCCATCTAGACACGTACACTGTAACTATGTTTTTTTTTTTTGCTAAACGTGTGTTGCGCGTTAATAGTAACAACACTGGAGTAATCAATAATATATTATGTTTTAACAATTTAAACTTTGTAGTAATATTATTAAGACCATTAAATATAAATAAAACAATTTTTTACATGTTAATATTATTATCTACTCGACTGAAGTTATAATAAAATTAACTAAAAAGCATTTTTAAACATTACCCAAAGTACCCTCCACTCTGTCGTTAAGCAAATTTAAAGCCCATTTCTTATTTACAAGTCTTAAAACCAAGTTTGTTTCCCCGATGCAAAATATTTATGAATAAGTTATGCCTTGAAAATTTAATTTTAGCAGTCGTTTAGGGTACTCTTCGTGAATTTTAAAAGGGATTAATTTATTGCCGAATCGAGATACGTTACTAAGTGATTACGTAGGTATTTGTGACATTTATCAAACGGCAGAATAATAATTAGGTAAATGCCTATTTTACTCGAAAGAATCGATAGCTTTTTAATCAACTCAAAAAAGAAGAAGGTTGTCAATTCGGTTATATGTTTTTTTTTTTTTGTAATCGAATAACTTTTCAGTTTTAAATTCTTGTCTCTGTTTTTAAACGTAATGAAAAGATAACAAATTAGATTGATAATCTATAATCATTTTCCATCTTTATTTTACTTACAGATGATACTGACTGGAACTACGTATTTAAAAGTAAATAATTTTTATAAAGACGGTTTCTAAGTATATTTCTATATATTAATGATAATACTTTATCCCTCTTTTGTCGAGTAATTAATTAAGAATGTGCTCACTGAAGTCAAAAAGATTTATTATTCATATTCATTATACCTATACGCATCTGATATAATGGATGCGAGATAATAATTGATGATGGCCTTTGCTCGACAGCAAAATATACCTAAGTATTTTGTTCAGAATTGAAATTAAGAAACATGGATTTTTTGAGTATGTACTCGTAGAAGCAACATATAAAAGCTAATCCATAAATCATATTGTCGATTGCCTGACAGATAATGTACATAACTACATACTACATAACTATCCAGAATCCATATCATTATCTCAAATATCGTATAATTTTGAACTAGGTTTCTTAAACTCGAGGCTTACCCCAAAACTTTTAAAAGGACAGTATTTAAAAATTTTACCTGGATCATGGATCTAAATTGTTAGCATATTATAATGCTGTAAAAAAAATGAAGATAATATTCTAAATAGACCTACCTTAAGTAGATGTGGATCCCTTTCAGCTGCATCCAGCATAGACTCCGCTTCACTCAGCCAAGCCACGAACTTCTCCAGAGAACGATCGAAATTCTGCAACGACGATACCGCAGAGTGCAAAGCCTTGCCTCGAGCTACGATACTGTAAAAAAAAGTAAGTTATGACTTTACTGGACTTCTTTACTCACAATTTGTCGTAATATGATTTTATTTTCACGATATAACGGGAAACCAACTATCGTAGTTTATTCTAGGAACAAGAGTTTCTTCAAGGGGGACGGCTTTTTTTGCAGATATCTATAGGCATATATACGACAAACATTTACTATCAATCGGGTCGTATGCTTAATTTCTTCTATTATAATTAAAAAATACATGGTTTAATCCTTAGGTTTGATCGCTCGTGTTGCGGATAGAACTCGAACTAAGTGACAATCGGCTAGCAATTTCACGCCGTGTGTGCTACAAATAATAGATGGCGCTGTTATACGTAATGTATGTCAAAGATATTTGCTTTAAGTTTCAATGATATTTTTCTGTGACACAAGTTTACACTCTTATTAGGTAACCTTGTGTGACAAAATTCATAGACTAAACAATAGTTATAGCGAAATATTACCTACGAATAATTTACAAAATGAACTTAAATGCCTATATTTTACAGTCCTAATTCTAATAGCAGTTAGGTAAGTGATTTGCAAATTACAGTGTTAAACGAATTTGAACTTTTTCTGTACCTGTTATTAAGCTCATTGTATCTATGATTGATGGCTTCCGTAGCACGCTTGATACGTGTCGTATCATCGTTCCTGTACACGGCTATGAGGCGCTGGGTCATCTGGCCGAACAGCTCTATTTGATGTTTGTATTGATGTACTTCTGCGTGGAATGACTGGAACAATAAAAAAAAATTAAAAATGCATTAAAAAAGTAATTTATTCATTTATTTTTATTGATCATTTAAAATGTATGATACAAAGGATGACCTTATAAATTAAATTATGTCACGTATTTTACATCACATCTGCCCTTCATACGCTTTCTGTTTTCACCTGATGGTTAGCTGGTAGAGAATGCCATATGGCATAAAGCTCGCCACTTGTACAATGTTTAGACTTTGTACGCCACCTCTGTCCCATTCGTGTTTACAATGTGTTTATGTTTGTTTGAATAAAGAACGGAGGAAAAATAAAATAAATAAATACTCTGTTATGTCCATGGTAATGCTATATACCACTTTCCATTCTCTCCATTCTAAATAAAAAAAAATGTTTTTTTGAATATAATAATAAAATAAATAAGTAACCTTAATTCTATATTGAGTCCTGTCATAATCAATTTTTAAGGTAATAGAAATAAATAAATTCTTGATTTCAATTACAAAATTATGATATTTTAACATCCCATGACATTCTTATTTATACATCAAAATTTTTAAGTAGGTTATTGGGATTAATTCCATTTATTAATCATTATTTTTTAAAACAAATGATTTTTAATCAAATAATTTACTCTTAAACGTCCAGTCGATATTATGTAGAACAAAATCTTAAATTATTGGATTCCTCCTAACGTAACTTATGAGGGAAGTTTCTCAAACTCCCGCAATGATAAAAGTTCCGAAGCTCTAATATCGTTATCACAAATACCAGCCCCCTCCCTATAAACATATTCATAATAGCGGCCCATACACGCGGGCGTGGAATCTTTGGCTCCCCAATCGGACAAGATTTATGTAACGCGAGGCGCCCTCTGCTCTCGGGGTTCGTAACTAGTAAATTGGTTTCGTTTTTAAAAGTTCCAAAGAGGGAGAGCTACTTATTTCGCCTGTATTTTTTATTTGTGTTATCACTAGAATTCTGTACCGATTTCAATAGTTCTTTTTGTAATAGATAGGATTTACTCTCGTGTTGGTTGAATATTTAGATGCTCAATACTCATAATGCTAAATGGATTTTAACGTTATTTGGTACAAATTGGTACAGACAATACCTAGATTATTACAGAGGGTATTTTTTTATCCCATTTTACATGGGAAAAGTTACAATAAAAGATTTACGGCCAGTAAACGGCCAATCTTTATTTATTTTCGGTTTTTTCCACTTTCAATCCTTTTTTTTGTCTGTTTTTGTACCTTTTTCAAAAATGACAAATTGCCCACATGATAACCGTTGTCCGTGGACACCATAGAATATACTGAGTATCTTATGCTTATCCCCGTGAAGAGTGTAATTTCACTGCTTTTACCTTAATCTTAATTTTTTTTTTATCAATTTTTAGTCTTAATGGTTCGTTTTTCATTTATACACCTAACCCTTAACAAGTGGAAGGAAAGAGATTGTTAGTAATATGGTCTAATAGTCTTTACTACTATTACTAGCAATATACTCTCTTCGACCTGATCGACCTCCACGCTGTTTCCCCTGGAAACCATCATAGTTAATCCTTGTCCAATTCATCATGATGAGCCAACTGACCTGCATCCATTCTCACCTATCATATTCCACTGCCCCGCCAGTGTATACCGACAGCGCGGGCGGGGTTACCATTCCATTTTCATCCATAAAAAAAGCCCTTAACAAGTCTACTATGACAATATTTGGCATTCCAAACAAGCCTATGCAGTTTTTGGTGTACCTGTTTATTATATAGCGAAAATAAATTAAATAAATTAGTTTGTTATCTTTTCTCCTTAAGAAGGGAGATGTGATTTTCTTAATAATAATAATAATATTCCAGTGTTCCAACAAACAATATCAACATTATTGTCACACCAATCACCTTCTGTTCCCTCAACTGCATTTCAAGTACATCGGCGGTGTGTCCGGGCGGCGCCATGCCCGCGAGGCGCGACTCCATGCGCGTCAGCCACGCGTCTGCGTCGCGCCGCCTCGCCTCGTACTTCTGCGAGTCGCCGAGCATCGCGTCCAGCTGCGCCTTGCGCTGTAGCACACGCGCGTTTGCCTCATCCCAGTGTTCGCGCAGTGCGGTAACTGTGAACAAAAAAATTATAAATGACTAATGTGATAGGGTTGTCACTAGAGAAGTATAACTATACTATAATGCACCCTAGTTTTTAAAATCTTATCTAAACTTATGTGGAAAAAAGAAATATTAAATATCTGCCAATTTCATTTGAATTCATAAATACTCCAAACCGTACATTAATACATTTAAAATATTTAACAAATATATATGAGAAACAAAAATTATCTACTAAAAAATTGGTATAGTAATATATATATATATATATATATATATATATATATATATATATATATATATATATATATATATATATATGAAGAACCAAATCGGTTTATAAATAACGGAGTTCTATGATAAGAATCCCGAAATGGGACCCTCCTCTTTTTCAACCGACTTCAAAAAAGAAGAAAGTTCTTAATTTGTTTTTTTTTTGTGTTTATTTCCTCATCACTCCGTTATTTATAAAACGGTTTAATTTTATATCTAAAAGGACTTACTATCGGATTGGTCCGATAGAAACATTATCAAATTAGTTTCAGTAATTTGATATTTGAATCAAAATAATGTTTTTATTTTTTGAAGGACACACTCTTAAATTATTTTGAAGTCCAATATTAATTGGACTTCGTTTCTCTTTAATTTCTCTAAATCTAGTTTGTCTACGAAACGTCTCACCGTTCATCAATGCTTACAACTGGCGTCTCTGGGGGGGAAAAGGATTGTTAGTAATGGAGACTGAGAATCCCATTGCTAGCAATATACCCAACCAGGTCGACCTCCTCGCGGTTCCCTCTGGAAACTATCATGATTAATTCCTGATGAATTCATCATGATGGGCTAACTGGCCTGTTTTCATTCTTATCATTGTCTTCACTGGTGCTCCGCCAGCGTATCCCGTTAGCGCACTAGGCTACCATACCATTAGGGGATACCATACCATTTTCACCCATCAAAAAAAAAACTGGCTTTTACTTTTCCGGGTATATGTACAAAATGTACCAAATGTTGTTTACATGATAAAATTTTCAAAAAGAATATCCAAGTGAACGTTTAATGTCAGGCTTATCTTACGTAAACCGCAACAATGAAACTTGAACGCTGTATTAGATGTTTTAGCCGCTCTCTTGGCAACTCATAATGAATTCAGGTTATAAAAACCAACATCCCAATATAATTTGGGATAAATTTCCAAGAGAAATGAGAGGATTTATGTTAAATCACAATCCCTTATAACTCCCGCGGGACTAGAGGTGGAGTAAAGCAAATATTTTCATAAAATCTTCCCGGAGGGGTGCCAAAGGGGGCCTTTATTATGTACATACATATATATGTATATAAATATTATTATATTCGATGGTATAAAATATATTTAGAGTACACCTGTTCGGAACATGTCCACTTGTTTCCTGCAGGGGATATGTTTTCTTTAAAACCAAGAATTAAATTCTATATGAAATATAAAATTTAATTCACTTTCTACAATGGGTTTACAATGTTTGGGCAACTCTTTGTTGAATCATCAAGTTATGAAATATCCTTCCAAGATCTGTGATACTCGTTTATAATTTGGATTGGGGTGTTACGTTCCATTTTTAAAGAATCCTATAATCTTATAGTGTTATTCCTCTATCGTGAACTTAAAATATAAAACTATTTACTGATAATCATTGCATAGTATAAAATAGAGTCGCTGTCGCTGTCTATCCGTCCCTATGTATGCTTAAATCTTTAAAACTACGCAACGAATTTTGATGCAGATTTATTTAATAGATAGAGTGATTTAAGAGGGAGGTTTATATGTATAAATACAGTAGATAGGGGGGAAAGGGATTGTTAGTAATGGAGACTGAGAATCCCATTGCTAGCAATATACCCAACCAGGTTGACTTCCTCGCAGTTCCCCTGGAAAATATCATGGTTAATTCCTGATGAATTCATCATGATGGGCTAACTGGCATGTTTTCATTCTCATCGATTACCCTTCACTGGTGCTCCGCCAGCGTATCCCGTTTGCGCAGGCGGGGTTTACCATACCATTTTCACCCATCAAAAAAAAAAATACAGTAGATAAACACTGATAATTTTAAAGGTTTCTAATGTGATATGATGTAATGTGCACCCGTGCGAAGCCGGGGCGGGTCGCTAGTTATTTATATTATACAGTGTGAGTAGATTCTTAGTTTTAGTACGGTTAACAACGATTACACCCTGTGTAGTGGTGGGAGTATATCTCGGGTAGTCGGATCTTACATAATGGGACTGGAAAATCTTTTCCCATCCATATGTCGGATCTGAGAGAAATCTCGCGCGAGTAGCAAATATGACGTGAATAATAAATACATTATCATTGGGCTCAGGGTTGTACACTTGCAGAAAGTTACGTTATACGAACGATATTATTACAAACTGTTTAAAATTTAATATTTTGTTAAAAAATAATCGGACTTCAATTGTGATAAAACCTTTTTTATTTAAAATTTAAACAACTGAACCGATCTTAATAAAATTTTTATGATACCAATCAATACGTATATTTTTTCAGATAAAACAAAAACAATTTTCCGAATCGGTTTACTGACGGAGTTATGTATTAACAAATATTAAAAAATACAACCGAATTGAAAACGTTATCTTTTTTTAAATCGGTTAGAAGGATTAGACTTATTTGATACTAGCAATCTACCCTGGCTTCGTGCAGGTCGATAAAAATATAAATTAGTATTTTATATTAGTTTTAAAAGGCAAATTTTCGATACTTCGGACTACATTATTGTAATTTTCGTAAGGATATGCATATTGCTAGCAATGGGGCTGTCAAACTCCATTACTAACAATCCTTTTCCCCTCAGTTATAATAGGTTTGTAGAATGTTTCAGTTTTTATGAACAAGGGAGTAAATAAATAAATAAAAAAAATATAAGTAATATCCGGTTGATAAGGGTTGAGAGGTTATTAGTAATATGGACTATAAACACAGATCGTTCTACACTGAGTTTGTCGATTCGCACTCTCTAAACCTTGATCAGTCCGATAAGGTTTTACGACATATGTGACGAGCTCACTGCCCCTTCAGCTTATAGTCACCAGAGGGAGACTTTGTACAAAACTAGATTGCTTGGGTACCTCTGTCTCACTCGTGTTTCAACCGTGAAGCAGTTGTGTTTGCATGGCTGTGTTTCGGTTTGAAGGGTGGGATATGGCGTGAATTTACTGGGTACAGAGGAATAACATCTGAGTCCTCAGGAATGGCAACGCATGGGAGGTATCATGGGCGAAACAGTATACTCTGTTATGTCCATGGTACTGCTCATGTCTATAGGCGACGATTACCACTTTCCATCAGGTGGGCCGTCAGCTTGTTTGCCATTCTAAGTTGTATAAAAAAAAAAAAGACTAGGATTCAGATATTGTTCTCTAGTATTTCGTAACAGAAGATATCCTAGCTGGATAATCAGACAATCAGTATGATTATTTGTCATTTATTTTTATTATTTTGGAATCTCGGACTGCAATCAAGCAGAGTTTAACCGAACGTTACTACTATATCGAAGAATTTAGGTTTCTAGCGAATCACTTCACTTCGGATTTTATTCAATTCCAAGCATATCTCTGTCCATAGCAGCTGTCAGTTGATGAATCAGACATGGGGGGTATCATGGGCGAAACAGTATATTTTGTTATGTCCATGGTACTATATGTACATATATTCTATAGTATTTTATATAATATATATTAACCACTTTCCATCAGGTATATTCAGCTTGTTTCTCATTCTAATTATTTAAAATATATATATATATATATATATATATATATATATATATATATATATATATATATATATATATATATATATATATATATATATATATATATATATATATATATATATATAAAAAAAAAATAGATATTAGAAAAGTTATGATATTAAAAGAGAAATATTGGCATGTTGTGTTTATTAGAAGTTGACAGCCCTAGATGGATGGAGGCGCAACGTCTTGACTGACAAAATTGGGTTGTTTACGTGAAAATTCTGGTATATTCTGTTGAGTGTGGAGTTGGTGTGAACAACTGTACTATATGTACATATATTTATGTATTTTATATAATATATATTAAATTGTATATTAAGTCTCTAGTAAATTAAATTACCAGAAGGAGACTTTGTACAAAAGTCAATTGCTTGAGTACCTCTGTCCCATTCGTGTTTCTACCGTGAAGCAGTTGTGTTTGCATGCCTGTGTTTCGGTTTGAAGGGTGGGATATGGCGTGAATTTACAGGGTACAGGAATAACACCTGAGTCCTCAGGAATGGCAACGCATGGGGGGTATCATGGGCAAATGTTATGTCCATGGTACTGCTCATGTCTATAGGCAACGGTTACCTCTTTCCATTAGGTGAGCCGACAGCTTGTTTGCCATTCTGAGTTGTATAAAAAAATATATACATCATAAAGAGGTATCGTGCGTATATATGTATGTATATGTATATATTTGGATGTATGTATTTATTTATGTATGTGTATGTGACTATGCTATCACAGATATTATTTTTTACAGATCTGTTTCTTCTAACGCGCCACCTACCTATTTATGCTTTAATTCCTTCCACCCAAAGGTTGTCTGGAAGAGATTGTTTAGCAATAATACCACCTTTTGTACTACACTATACTTATTGAAAATTGTTCAACAAATCCTGTTATTTTGGTGCAATCAAGTATTGTATAAATAAAGAAAAAAAAAATAAAAGAGGTATTTTCTTATATCCTAGAGAACATTACAAAAACTAAAAGAACGGCAAACGCTTGTAAAGGAGACATCTTTATTTTTCTATTTAATTAAAGATAGCTTTGATAAATGGCCATCGATTTATCTCAATTAAGCGAGTGACAACGACTTTGAGTAATTAAGTTTATGAAAGTTCCCAAAATTCCTAGTAAAGAACAAGGATTTTAATTTGAAGAGTTCTATATTTTGTTGTGACAGAAACACAATCAGTTTTTAT